AAAAATTGGATGTGTGTGTGTGTGTGTGTAAGAATGTATGTCTGGATACATTTTTTCGTCGACGTTTTCGGAAGGACCGCTCAACTGATTTGAATGATTTAAAAAGCAATCGATTCCTATTGATAGGGAGATGTGCTGATTAGGTTTTGAAAATGGTCGGTCAAGTTGTTTCGCAAATACGAAGCGAAGAGTGCAGAAAATGAAAATTAAGTTTTTGAGAGAACAGAGCATCAGATTTGAATGATTCAATTCGTATTGATGAGGAGAAGTGGTTATTAGTTATTGGCAAAGATAGGCTCAGACGTTGCACAGATAAATTTGCAGTTTTTGAGACAACAACATAAAGCACCCGATTCTTGCTTGTGAAGAAACGATTAGTTTTTGGGGAAGGCAAAAAAATATTTTTTTGATGTCAAAATTTCATTTTTTTTAAATATCGAGAATGATTCGGATTTTAATTTTAGTTCTAGCTAAAATTCTAATCAGCCATTAAGTTTAATCAGTGATTATGCAAAAATCTACTGATAACACTGCGCGACAAAAATGGCACCTTTATTTTTTTTCTCAAACTTTTTTTTAAATCTACTTAGAATTGCATGATGATTTCAAATGTACCTTCCATTATTCCGTAACAGCTCTAGTTTTTAAGTTTTAGGCAACTATCCTAATTAGCCATTTCGGCTGTTTTCTAAGTTTTGTTGACTCTTGTGTGCATAATCCAGATAGTTTTTGTTAAATCTGGGATGAGACGCGGTGTCTCATGGTAAAAATGCATTTTGCACTATGTAAAAAAGTTGCTTGGTATGTTTACGTTATCATCCAGAAGGAAAAAGGAATGCTATAATTTCAATACGCCCGTCATAAAAAAAAACTCAGAATCACCACGACAATTTTGTTTCTTCTGTGTGGTAAATACCAATGAAATAAATTCAGACAATGGTAGCGAATGCTCAAAAACAACAACCCCAATGATAACGAGGCCTACTTATGATCAGCTACACAACCCCTATCCATGCTAATGATGAACAACCTCAAACATCAACATCTCCTGCCTACCAAAAGTAATGGATGCAGAAACCAACGTTAGATGAGAAGACAGGAAAAATTAAAATGCTATGTTTGATGAAATTAATTTGAATTCATCACTCGCACTCTTATTCATAACGATTTTTAAAAAATCTTGAAGATACTAGCAAAGAGCAGATCGAGAGTATCCACCAAGACATCAGGACCTTGGAGAAGCAATATCAAGGAAGGTGAGACTTCCACATGATGGCTGACAAATGTTGGAGCTTACGAAGTTAGTCAGGCCTTGTCCATGCTCAAAAATCATATAACAAGTCTTTTGAAGGCATAAAATAAAATATGTTGTATATTTTATTGTATTTGAGGTAAAACTAGCACATTGGCATATCTTAGAAACTAGAGTTTTTAGTAAATTTTTGTTACTATTTTCGGAATCAGCGTCCATGAATTACTTCATAGCATCTCTGGAAAAATTTTAGTGTCGCGCAGTGTAATTTGACGCATCTAGTTCCATTTATGGTAAACGTCCAAAATTGTAAATAATTAAATTATTATTAAGATGTACCTGAATGGGTAAGACTTCTTCCTCCGGTAACTCTAGATTGATGTCAAACAATTCGCAAACTTTATCTCTGAGTTCATAAAATTCTTCGAGAATCGCTTCTCTTTCAGCACGACATTGTTTTTCCTCCTCGGCTATTCTCTGGTTGGCCACGACTTCTACCCAAGTCCTTTGCAAGAAATAGGCTAGAAAAAAATGAATCAAATTGTGAAAAAAATAAATAAACTAGTGGTGCATGGCGTCGTGCCTTGGCAAATTGCTGGAACTTCCCGTGCCAAAAATTATTTCTTTTTAAAAACATTAACATTTTTGGAAAAAAATCACTCTGAACAAATTAGATTTTTCAGAAACTATAAATTTTCGACAAAAATTTACTTTTTTTTAAAAAAAAAGACTTTTTGAAGAAAAATTTATTCTGAAATAACGCATAAACATAGGTACGGAACCCATAGGAATGCAAACAAAATTTATACTTATTGTTAAAATCTCTATAAAATATCTGTTAATTTGATGTGCATATGCCTAATGATCATTTTTGACCGCCAAATGGCATTTTTTTTATTTTTTTCATTAGATCTCCGAAACCGCTAAACCTGCCTTCATAAAAATTTGATCAGTTCTTCATCTTGTTAATACAAGTAAAATGTTTTTTGAATTATTCAAATCGGGCGCTCCGTTCTCTTAACAACTGAGTTACCGATTCTGGCACTTTTTGCCCCATATCTTCGGAAAGGCTGGACCTGCCTTTGCCGAAAACTAATCAGCACGTCTCCTTATCAATATGAATCGAATGTTTTTTGAATTATTCAAATCGCTTCATCTGTGTTCCCGAAGTGAAGTGAAGTGAAGTCGTCGACGAAAATTTGTATCCGCACACACACATACACGCACACATACACATACACACGCACATACACACACATACACACACACATACATACATTTTTTCTAAAGTATGCCAAAATGTTCAGAAGGTTTTGAAACATAAAGATATATAAAAATTTTCATTTTCGATTTTTTTGCGATTACTATAACTTGCTTTACGAGAAGTTAATAAGCAAGGAAGAATGCTATAATAACAGAATCTTTGAAGATATATTTTCACAGTTTTCACTACCAAGGAACAAGCATAAGATAACGTTGCCGTGACAACGCTATGTTATGAGCTTTGTTACAGCAGAATTGCCCATAAGTAATAATAATAATTTTAATGGGATAAAATAAGATAGGAAATATATTGAATACAGAAAAATTCTCATAATGTTGATTGTAAATAAAATAAAATATTTATTTTTATCGATCCCATGAATCTTATATATAAAAATGGATCGCAAAATGTGCTGGTAAGCGCATAACTCAACAATGCCTAGACCAATTTGGCCAATTCTTTTTTTAAAATGTTCGTTGAAGTCCAAGGATGGTTCTTACGGCGAGAAAAAATCGAATAATTGCCGGGAAAACCCTAAAAACAGCCCTTTTCTTTTTCACATACAAACGTTTTCTAACTAAAACGTAGAATCAATTTGAGCTTTATTAAAATAAATTCAATTTTGTTAATAAAAAGGAAGAAAAAAGAACAGTGAATGTGTTTTCGAGGATTCCTGCTTTGACACAGCGGCAAGTACGAGCAAAATTAATGGCAAAATGTTTTGAAATACCTACAAAACTATCCGAACCCTTCTTCGTGTTCATGATCTGAAATGGCGCAACACAATGGGGAATCCTCTGACGACTGAAAAACATGTGCTCTTTCTTCCGCTTGGGCACATGAAAATATTGATAGAGATTTTGAAAATGACATTTTTACTGATGAATGTTCTATATGGGCACGTACTGTCCTACGCAGACCTTAAATTAGAATATGAGCCCTCAAACTGGAACTCATATTCTAAATTAGTAAAAAGCATGCGTCGAAGATGCCAGCCAATTGTCGACTCCGGTGGTGACAAGAGACATATTGATCAAATTGCAACATTGCTTGCAAGGTGTACAATGCATATATAAATATTAAAGTTTCATAAAATTAATCATTAATCATAATCTTTTTTATAAATTAATACAACCAACCACGCTCTTACTTGACTGACTGTAAGTCTAAACTCGACTAAAAACACGTATTCTTTCGTCATTTATGGAAACAAAATCACACATTTTATCATCTTAATTCCACCCATCAAAATTCATGAGTGGGCTCAAGCCATGCTCAAGCCCACACGGTTCCGACGCCACTGATGGTTGACATTAATAAATGTGTGCATCACAAGTATTACCATATTACTAATAAACATTATTCAAAATTATATTATTTTAAAGTATTTATTTTAAACTTGAATGCCATCTTGTACAGTGACAAAAAGTTTTGCTTGAATCGCGTGCGAACCTCACGCGCACTCTTTTTTCTGATAAACCTTTATTTTTTATTTCAGGGGTGAATATTATATCTTAAGATATACAATTGTGCTATTCAATATATACCAACTTGTAAAGTAATTTATTTATCATTTACTAATAGAAAATATGTAAAAAAAATTCACTTATAACACAATAATATATCAAAGAATTTATTAACTTCCCGAAGGAGAAGTTTATGTTTTCATCAAAAAATCCGATTCGCTAATTTTATGTTTTCTTGACGTTTCAAGGCATTCTGAATCGAATGAGACCAAATTTGGAAAAAGTATGTGTGTGTGTGTGCGTGTATGTGAACAGATTTTTTGCCGTAAATCGACGTTTTCTCAAAAACGGTTGGGCCGATTTCAAAAATTTAATAGCCATTCGATGTATTTCGATGAGGACTAGCGTTTCTGAGTTTCGTGCGATCGGCCGAGCCGTTTCTTTGTAAATCGCAGAAAAGTGGAAAATTTTTCGTCCACGTTTTAGCTCGATTTTGAAAATTCAAAAACCGTTCGAAAGATATTGGTTGGGAATCGTGCTGATTAGTTTTTGGTGAAGATGGGCCGGGCCGTTTTCTTGTAATAAAGTTTTTTTTTAAAAAAAATCGACGATTTTTATTATTATTTTTTTCGTTTTCAATTATATGCAATAAATCCACTCGGAATACTTTTAATGGCTCAAAAATTAATTTATTTTTTATTGATTAAGTCGATTATTTAATCTTATCGGGAAGTTCATGTAACTTGCCTCAAGGCAAAATACCAAACCAACTAGTAATCACTTTATTATTATCCGTTTATTGATTTATGTATATATCCGTTAATATATCCGTTTTTCTATGCACGATAATTTAACGGCACTGAAAACAAAATGGCCTCCACAATGGCGAAGTTAGCTGCAATCGAAATGTCAATTGTCAATGAGTTTTATGGATTTTATTTTTTATATTGAAGTTAAACAAAACGAAATAATAGATTTATATTAAAACATATATATTATTTTATAAATCACTGTTTGTTTGTTTACAAAAAACGAAAAACGCCGAAAATGTCCGAAGAAACAATTTCAAACCCAACAATCAAAATTGAGCCAAAGGAATATCCTCCAGTTAAACAAGAACTTGATGACAACGATATTACTCCAGAAACATTTTTAGAAAATGAAGTAATATATTTACATCAGTCATCATCAGAAAAAATAAAACAAGAAACAATTGATGATCAAGATGAAACAAGTTTCGACGAGGGATCTTATATGGAAAACGAAGGAATATATCAACAGCGATTTTTAGATTCTGAAGTCACTATAGATGAAGAAATAAAGAAAGAAACGATTGATGACCCAGATGAATCACATTTTGATGAGTATTCTTATACGGAAAACGAAGAAATATGTCTACAGCAATTTTTAAAATCTGAAGTAACATTTGAGGAAGAAGTAAAGCATGAACCGATTAATGAGCATGTTGCAGACACTAGTAAGGACAAAAACAATGTCAGAGAGTCAAGTGATTTAGCGGATAATACAAGTGAATGCAATAAATCAGTTAAAAAAGTTGTAGGAAAACTTAAAACTACCCTAAACTTAAAACAACCCTTGGAATGTAAAACTTGCAATAAAAATTTCTCAACAATTATCACCTTACGTCAACATAAAATGATTCATACAGGAGAACGACCTTACAAATGTGAAACATGTAATAAAGCATTTACAACAAATTGGAATTTAAGTCAACATAAAAAGGTTCATACGGAAGAACGTCATCACAAATGTGAACTATGTAATAAAGCATTTAAAACAAATAGTAATTTAAGTCAACACAAAAAATATCATACAAGAGAACGGCTATACGAATGTGAAATATGTAATAAAGCATTTATAACAAATGGTGCATTAATTCGACATAAAAGGATGCATACAGGAGAACGTCCTTACAAATGTGAAATATGTAATAAAGCATTTATAATGAATAAAGATTTAATTCAACATAAAAGGAATCATACAGGAGAACGTCCTTACAAATGCAAAATATGTAATAAAGCATTCATAGCAAAAGAAACATTAAAGCGACATTTAATGATTCATACTGGAGAACGACCACATAAATGCAAAATATGCAATAAAGCATTCAAATTAAAACGAGATTTAAAACTACATGAATTTGTTCATACTAAAGAAAGCAATCATAAATGTGCAGTATGTAAAAAAACATTCGCAAAAAAACAAAATTTAAGTCTGCATGAAATGATCCACACTGGAACCCGTCCTCATAAGTGTGCTTTATGCAATAAATCATTCACCAGAAAAGAAATATTAAACCAACATCTAATGATTCATACTGAAGAACAACCATATAAATGCAAGATATGCAATAAAGCACTCCGTTTAAAACGATATTTAAAACAACATGAATTAATCCACATAAGAGATAGCAATCATTGATGAACCACATGCAATAAAACATTCGCAGCTTTGCAATCATTAAACCAATATAAAACTGTTCATACTGTAGAACAATTTATAATAAAGGATTAAATTTTCATAATTTTAAACACATTATAATTTTAATTAGCAGACTTATTATTGCTTATAAGTATCTTTGAAAATATTTGTGGTGACTTATACAATATATTAACGATTTATTGCTCACCAAACATTGTTACGCCAGACGTTATTACAAGAATATACAGGGTCATTATTTAAATCAAATTGTTTTTTATTTAATTATGTATATATGTATATGAATAACATAAAAATTAAAACTTGTTGCAAAAAGGGTCTTGAACAATATTTGTTATTATTGGTCACTTACTTCCCAGAGAGTTGGTTATAGTAATCGTCCAAAAACTGATAATAAAAATTTTGATTTGTATCATATGCTTACATTTCAAAGGTCTCTAATTATTTTGTCATACTTTAGAAAAAATTGTGTGTGTGAATGTATATTTGGGTACAGTTTTTCTTCTATGATTTCGGTAGCACGGATATATGATTGAAAGATGTTACTTGGAAATAGGAAGTTGTATTAATTTATTTTCAATAAAAGCGAAAATTTTATTATGGAAATAAACAGTTGAAAATTTAATTTAAATGGCAAAACTTATGTTTTATTGCTTTGAATATTGTCGGGTTTTGTTCTCAGGCAATGGGCCCTGATATATGTACATACAATAGGACCTTGATCAACCGGACTAATTATTGTCGATAGGCATCCGGAAAATCGAATGTATAAAGAATATTATTGTGTATTTATTAAAAATAACAAATACGTACATATATATCAACGAAAAATAATGTTTATTAAGAAATTGAAACTTCTTTATGTATGTGCATATATATTTTCTTAGATTACATTACATACATATACTAAACTACAGTAGGTATGTAAATACATATAAATTAGTCGTGGTTGGTATTGCGGATAATCGCGAATCATTATAACTGAGGTCCGGATAATCGAGGTTCTACTGCACTTATATCATTATTTTCATGTTGATTTCAAGTATGAATTCTTGTGTTTGCATTTTTGTTATTTACTCCAGTCAATGGAACGTTTTCGGTCTGACTTTTTTTACTGTGCTCCGATTTGAATGAAATTTTGAAACTAGGTTTATCTTTCTCGGCCGATCAAAAGTGAAAACCATTTGGACTCGGCCACCACCCCCCGCGAAGATGACAACCTCTTCTCAGTTGTGTGAATTTTATTTTCTCAAAACAACGTTGGATATCGATAGAAGAACTAATCTTATATATAAAAATGGAGTTCTCGATCAAATGATTCGGTAAAACTCGAAAACGGCTAAATCGATTTGGCCAGTCTTTGTCAAAATTTGTGCTAATCAGTAGGTTGTCGGAAAGGTGAGATATTATTTCAAAATCGCATAGAAACTTTACATATTTAATTTGAAATTTTTTTTAGAAGCGTAATTTAAATAAAACCATGGACGGTGGCTAATACGTCAAATGTCAAATGTTTTTGACAGATGATGTTCAATTACGTTTAATAGGATGTTTTACGTGAATGTTTATGATTAAATTGTAGTAAGTAGTTTTTTTTGTAGTTATATTTATACACAAAAACGTTATTAAACGGGCCGCAAGTGTTACTAGAAACTCAAAATATCAACTTTTCTGAAATGTTAATATGAAAATGCATTTTTGGCGTTATAGCACTCTTTTTTTATTCAAACACGGTGCTCTGAAAGATCTCATTTGTATAATTATATACTCATTGGTATTTATAAAACATTTTCATGGTTATATTTTTTCTATTTATTTTATTTAAATTCAGAACCTAAATTTGGTATCGATCAAATGGACATTTTTTTCCCAGAATTTATCAAAGAATAGATAGTAATATATGAAGGTCCGGGGTTAAAAAGGTCCACCATCGATGTGTCAAAAACCAGTAAAGTTAAGCATTGTTTAACAACAATATTTGAAAGTAGAGGGAACAATATGTATGACCAGCTAAACCTTGATTATTATGACTTTGCTATCGGGATATAAGCGGCAATCCTTAAAAATCCGTAATAAAAGTATTTTCTTCCGTTGGTAGTTTTTTAGCATTAATTATATAAATGTAATTATTTTATAAAATATGACACCAAAAAGGCACATTTCTACAATGATGTAGTAGCTGGCAGTTTCATTTGAAATGTGCTATTTGTTGTGATATAATTGGTTTGGTTTTCATAATATAATTTAGAAATGCTCAAAGTCAAATTGGACCTCTGTGCCTCGCCCTACTCTACAAACATACTTTTTATTAAATTTACTTTAATTCATAGAATGTTAGTTGAAACTTTTCAAAAAGCAGGTCAAATAAGAAATACTTAATTCAGTTTCTATCTCTCCTCGCAGAAATTTGAAAACTTTGTATAAGCTCAGTAGTATTATTTACAATTATACACAAAATCCAGAATCCAAAAATAATCTGAAAAACTTGAAACGTAATCAATAAGTCGAAAGAACAAAAAAGACTTGGATGGAGATTATACTATGTTTCCTATAGAAAGTGTATAAATCATCCAGTTTGAATATATTAACAAAATATAGACAAACTAATGGGGTTTATTGTTTTTATGATACCTCATTCTATATAGCATTCAAACAGCACATCCTTATACACTTAAAGTATTCATATTTTTGATTCTCTAGAATTTATTTAGAATATACCTTACTTAGCTGTGTCATTTCATGTTTGCCGGTTCAGCTATAGTCTTATATATAAAAATGAATCGCAAAATGTGTTGGTAAGCACATAACTCAACGACGCCTGGACCAATTTGGCCAATTATTTTTTTAAAATGTTCGTTGAAGTCAAAGGATGGTTCTTACGGCGAGAAAAAATCGAATAATTCCCGGGAAAAGCCTAAAAACAGCCCTTTATAGAACAGCCAATAGTAGAATCAATTTGAGCTTTATTGCTATCATATAAAGTTCATATTAAATTACAGGCACTCACTGTATACTCCTCCTAAACTATTATTCGGATTTTGATAAATCTTTCTGAAGTTTGTTAAGGAAATTTTCGAGGATGTATGTGATTATAAAGTACTGGGATGTATGTGCAATATTGTATTTGAAATGTTTTTTATTAATTGAAAACAAATGAAAACTATCATTTGCAGCAAAAGCAGCTGAGATGTGCCAGTAATTGAAATAATATAAAATACAGTATATGTATGGCGCATTGAATGATTTACATATGAACAGGATATGACAAATTAATTAACTTAAAATATGAAATTAATATTAATCATGGGGATACCTTTAATGCGATGCATGCGGAAAATACGAGTGCACGCCTTAGGGGGCGCCAACACAAGTTTTGGATATAAAATTTTCAATATAGTTTTTTTTTCAATATATATAATTTCTTTGCATCTTCTACTAATCTTTCCACAATATTTTTAAAATTCGTAAAAATTGCACTTTATAACAACAAATGGGAAAGTGAATATGAATACATACAATTCGGCCCTCACGATATCGATTAGGAGAAGTTTACGATGCAATTTTGTATATCCTAAATAATAAAAAATGAAATGAATTTAATCCAACATGAAGTACCAGTGTAATGTTATGGTTATGGTTATGTTATAGTGTTTGAAAGACTTCAATTTGCAAATAGTGTGGGAATTGAGACTCATAGTTTTATTTAAAGCATTTCTACATTTAACATCGCTCATATTCAGGTCCGTGCCTGGCCAGCGTGCAGTGCGTGCACCGCACGTAGGCGGCCGCCTTTTGGGGCGGGCAAATCAAATCAAATTCAAGCAAAATCGAATCAAAAAGCGGCTATTTCAGCTTTGTTTCCAAATCATTATTAAGTGTATAATTTTGGTGTAAGTGGCAACTTTGCCTTAGAGCAAGGTGCTTGATTTTTTAAACATGTGTAAATAATCGACATAACTATAGAAAACATATTAATTCATGAATGAATTGCAATGTGAAAAACTATCGCAGATTATTCAATTTTGTACAAATTTTCTAAACGTGTTAGTTATTTTTTTAAAAATGGTTAAAAAATTATATATTATTGAAAAAAAAATAAACGTGTAGTATGTTTATTAAGAACAGGATCCAAAATCGCCAAAAAAATTGTTAATCAATAACTGAGAAACGACTCGACCGATCATTGACAAAAATAAAAACTAATCAAATTCTCCAATTCTCAAATGGTTTCTTTGTAATGGTTTTTGAATTTTCGATTCACGAAAGGCTATAACGCGGACAAAAAAATTGACATTTTTTTGACAATTCTAAAGAAATGGCTCGGCGAAAGGCCAAATTAACCAGCACGAACCAGCACGTGCTTATCGAATTTTCAAATAGGATTGCGCATTTTTAAGAAAACCGTCGACTAAAGATGAAATTTTGCCTTATGTGAAAAAGTGCTGCTAATTTTTTCAAACTTTGATAATATTTGGAAAATTAAAACAACTTGTCGTAGGGTCGACATATTTAGTTAAATTCGAGATCATGATCTCTATCGCCAAAATTTAAAAATATCATCGTAACAAAAATTTAACAAATAAATACGAAGAAACGATCCGACCGATCTCTTAAAACTAATTAGCACGATTCCCAAATGATATCTTTCAAGTTTCTGAACGATGCAGAATTTTTTGCTAAAACGTGTACGAAAATTTGTATACTTTTCTGTTGATTAGAAACGACTTGTCCGATTGTTGCACAAAACTGACAGACGGAAGTCGTTAACTAGTTACATCATGAATTTTAAATTTTTGAAATCGATTTAACCGTTTTTAAGAAAACGTTGGCAAAAGTCAAAAACGATTCAGAATGACTAGAAACGTTGAGAAAACATGAAAATTACAAGTCGATTTTTTTGTGAGAACATACTTGATATTTTCCTATTAAGTTATTTTCAAGTGCGGCCAAAAAATGCTCGCACGCAGGCGGCCACATACCCAGGCACGGCCCTGCTCATATTATAAACATATTTGCATTTTGGCGAGAAGAGTAATTTGAAAAACAATAATTATTATTATTTTTAGGTAAACGGTGATTATTAGTATATTATATTAAAAAATTGTAGACATGGGTACAGGACAACATAGTATTGTATAATATGAATAACCAAAATCATTATAAATAAAAAAAGTTAAGGAGTGACATTCGCATATTTCCAAAAAAAATTAACTAAATAACAAAGTAACTAGTCAAAAATTATTACATCTAACTTTTTCTAAAAAAAAAAGACTTTTGAAATTGTTCTTTTTACATTCAATGAATGTCACATCAAGAAGCTTTAGTCGTTTTAGTCGCTTTAGTCTGCGTCGAAAACATTTGCAAGTGTAGACGCGGCTTACAAAAAATCATGACGTGACACATATGGTCATTGTCAAACAGTTTAAGGTTATTGTTTATTCTAAAAGAACTTTAATGTAAACAAAAGAGTAATATAATTTTGTTACATTATATGTTGTGAAAATAATGAAAAAAATGTGTTTTTGTTAATATAAAGTTTATAAATATATAGTTTATGAAAAAGTTATTACTACCATGTAAGTTTCTAATTGTCAAAATATTTCACAATCTATAATTAGATTTGATTAATTATAATTGAATAATAGTAATTGTTTTAATTTATTATATTATATATTTATTACTGATTTTTTTTAGGTACATAAAATATTAAGCTAGAAATATTATTTTCATCATTTAATTAGCACTGGACTAATTAAAAGCTAGTGACCTAAATTTTATTGATGAAGGTTGTCAAAATTATATTCTTTATTATAAAATTTATATCTTATATATAAAATTCTTCTGTACGGGTGTATGATTTGATTCCTCTCCTAAACGGTTATTTGGATCTTGATAATTCTTTTTAGAGTTTGTTAAAGAACATTTTTTAAATTTAATGCACTATAAAATTATAGCAATGTTGTAGAAATAAATGGAAAAATTATAAAAAAACACTTATCATTGTTTAACATTGAAAACATTTGAACCGCCATCTGCTAGAAATGTCAATTCACTTGAAATTTGAATTTATCTGAAATTATGAGCCTAGATAATATTAGAATGTAATATACGAAAAAAATGTAATCTCTACATTATTATTGCGGAAAAGCAGCTGAGATGTGCAAGAAATTAAAATAATATAAGATACAGTCAACAGTATATGATTGGCAGATGAATTATATAATTCAGTTAAATAAATAACGGAATAAGTCCAAAATTCGATACATATTATTTTTTTAAACTTATGCATGTCGCATTTTGGTTTACTTCACTAAATTATTTAACAATAAAAAAATATTTCTACTTAGTAAAAAATTTATTTAGAATTTTGTTTCGTGTGTCAAAAATTCATTTGTTTGGCATTGGCTTTGGAATATTTAGCAAGTTGATCTTAGATTGAATAGTGCCCATATGAACTAGATTTTACAAATTAATTTCACTTAAGATTGGAACATAAACAATAATGTTTATTCAATTATTAGTAAGAAAAATGTACATTAGAAATGATATTTTCCAAAAAGCCAATTAATATATAGTACGAGAACATGAGAATTATAGACTAAATTATTGAAGCAATTATGTTGTGTGGTAAAATCAAGTGTGATATTGTTCTTTCACCGCAGATACTATATTATTTTTTTCTGGATTTCTTATACTGGTTATGCTCAGACAATAAATGAATCACAAAGGCAGGACATCAAATAGGATATTAAAAAGCATAGGATAGGATATTAAAAAATTTGGAACTTTTGAATTGTAGAAGTGGGTACAGGACAATGTCTGTCGGGTCATCTGATATATAACAGTAGACAAAAATTTTTGTTTGGATAATGGATTTTTTCCCCTGAACCTTATAATATACAGTAATACCTCAACTTACGAATGACTTGATATACGAGTGTTTTGAGATACGAGCCGCCAAAAAAACGTTTCGTTGCCTCGACATACGAGCAGAATTTGAGATACGAGCTTTGATCGAGTAAGAGTTTTTTTTATAAAAATGTTAATGGCATAATGAAAGTATGAATAATTTATTCATATGTGACAATGATTTTTTTACAAATGATTAATTAATAAATTTTACAAATTAATTTACTGTTAATTACTATAATTATAAAATAATTATTTTATATTTAAACATTTTAATTATATATTTATTATTTTAAATTTTAATTATATATTAATTTTTTCAGTTTTAATTATATATTATTAATTAACGGCATTTCAATGTATTTATATAGAAAAAGTGCTTCGAGATATGAGCGATTCGACGTACGAGCGTGGTTATGGAACGAATTAAACTCGTATGTCGAGGTGCCACTGTATAACGATATAAAATTCGTTGGCATTGGTATTTTGCCTTGAGGCAAGTTACATGAACTTCCCGACATGTGTAAATAATAGACTTAATCAATAAAAAATAACTTAATTTATGAATAAATTAACTTGGAGAATTTTCTAGAAGCAAATATTCAAAAATCAACAATTTTTATAATTGAACCAGTTTGCGTAAGACTTTAATGGTTCAGTATGTTCATTAAGACCAAGTACCCTATCGTTATACCAAGTAAATCGTCTAATTTTAATTTTAACAAACGCCAAAAAAACAATTCATTTTCTCAAACTTTGATGAATTTTTAAACTTTTAAAAAACTACTTTTCGTAAGGCCGTAATATTGCAGTAAGTTCTATAAGACCATGATATATATCGTCAAAAAAAGTTACATAAAAATCGGTTTAAATTTTTTTTTCAAGAGTTAATTACAAGAAAACGGCTCGGTAGATTTTCACCTAATACTAATCAGTATCATTCCCAACTAATATCTTTCGAACAGTTTTTGATTTTTTAAAATCGATTCGGTAGTATGAGATTAAATGTGGTCGAAAAGTTTAACACTTTTTTTCCAAATAACAAAGAAACGGCTTGTCAGATCGTCGCACAAAACTGACGAACGATAATCCTCATCGGGATAAATCGAATGGCTTGTAAATTTTTGAAATCGGACAAGCCTTTTTTGAGAATACGTCGATTTAAGATACAACATCTGTACACCCACACACATTCTTTTTCCAAATTTGGTCTCATTCGATTCAGAATGGCTTGAAACGTCGAGAAAACATAAAATTAGCGAATCGGATTTTTTGATGAAAATATAAACTTCTCCCTCTGGAAGTTGATAAATATTATATCATAATCATAATTATGTTTGTTCAATTTCAGATATATGAAATAACCAGACCAAACGTTGCCAGACAACCTACATATGAATATTCATCAATATAAAACGAGTCTTCGAGATTATAAAATTTTTCAAACCACATGAAATGATTACAAATTGAATATTAAGTTTATAATATATTACTAGTAAATAAGGCAGGAAACCAAGAATTTATACTTATTATATAGAAATTATATTATTTCAAAAGTGCAATGACCGAAATAAAACAAGAAATTGATTCATGCAACATCGAATATGAAATTAAATGTGAACCAGTAGATTCAGATGCTTCGGAAACAGAAAACAGTTACAACAACGATTACAAAGAGACAAATGAGATTTCTGAAGATGCAAGTTTCCCTCAATATTTAAAACCAGAAACATACATTGATACTCAAGTGCAAGAAGATATTGTCCAGGATTACCATGAACAAGTACAAATACCCAGTGAGATAGATGATTCTTTTAAACCTGTAAAACAGCCTAAAGAGAAACGATTTCAATGTCCTTACTGCATGAAGACTTTTCCTCGTAATATTGATTTAGTTCCTCATGTAAGAACCCATACAGGAGAAAGGCCTTTTAAATGTGATATGTGTGACAAAGCTTACACGCAACTATCTACTTTAACAAACCATAAACTGACACATGCTCCTGAAAAGGCTTTCAAATGTACACAATGTGATAAAGCTTATTCTCGTAAAGGTGATTTACAAAGCCACTACAGACTACACACAGGCGAAAGGCCTCACAAGTGCAATATATGTGGCCTAGGATTTCCTCGGTCGTCCAATTTAATGAAACACATGTACGTTCATATAAAGGACAAAGACTTTGAGTGCCCTTATTGCAGTAAAGCATTCTCTAACAAAAGTTACTTACACATGCATCTCAAAACGCATTCTGGAGAGCGCCCTTATGAATGTTTCATTTGTTTGAAAAAGTTCACACTGTTACAAAACATGAAAAAACATGTATCCATTCACATCAACGGCAAACAATTCATTTGTTCCCTTTGCAATAAAGCCTTCGCGGACCAACAAAGTCTATCCCTTCATACTAAAGTCCATACAGGCGAAAGGGATTTCAAATGTGATGTTTGTGGTAAAGCCTTCATTCGAGATCAGTATTTGAAAAAACACAAAGTTGTTCATGAGGGTCGTAGAGATTTCCAATGTCCCTACTGTGATAAAGCTTTTACAAGATCTGATATTTTAGCACAGCATTTACGTATTCATACTAAAGAGAAGCCTTTCAAATGTGATGTGTGTGATGAAGCGTTTGCACGAAAAAGTGGAATGTTGAAACATAAAGCAAAAGCACATGTCGAAGAAAAAAAACCTTCATTATGAGACACAGAGAGTATAATAGACTTAGATTGTAAATATTACTTAACATATATATATTTTATGTTATGAATGTCCTTTGGGTTATTTCATATATTGCTTGCGACCATTATAGTTAAAAAAATATAAATTTAATAAAATATATTACAACTATCATTTGTTTTTAAATTATACTAGAGAAAATTTATATATTTCCAAAACTGTGTAATGGTAAGAAATATTTAGTGAATTTGAATTATTTCAACAAAAAAACTTTCATTTTAGCATTGCTTACATTTCACAAATGATTGCATAGAGATTGAATAGAGAAGTATCCATAATTGCTATGGTCTTTAAATAAGAATTTAAATAAAACAGTTTTAATTAAAAGATGGATTATTGTACAAAATGTATGAGTTCTATTTTTTCAATATTTCTGCAGCAATGGTATTTTTAGTACTTCTAATGATATTATCAAATAATTCGCTATATAACAAACAATCTAAAACATTGTCAGACAACTTACAACATTAAAAAACAATCTAAAATATGGTCAGACAATTTGCAACATTTTCGGATCAGTTACAACGTCAACAATCTGAAACATTGCCAAATAATATACAACATTTTCAGACCAGTTACAACATTAAAGATGCAATCTAAAAGATGGTCAGACAATTTACAACATATTTAGACTAGTTACAGCCTTGAAAAATAATCTGAAATATTGTCAGACAACGTACAGCATTTTCAGACCAGTTACAGTATGAAATACTATCTCAAACGTTGTCAGGTAATATACAATATTTTCAGACCAATTACAGCATTAAAAAACCTACTAAAACATTGTCAAGCAATTTACAACATTTTCAGACCAGTTACAACATTAACAAACAATCTAAAACATTGTCAGAAAACTTACAACATTAACAAACAATCTAAAATATGGTCAGTCAATTTCAACATTTTCGGACCAGTTACAACGTCAACAATCTGAAACATTGTCAAATAATATACAAATAATATATAAAGATGCAATCTAAAAGATGGTCAAACAATTTACAACATTTTTAAACCAGTTACAGCATTAAAAAACAATTTAAAGCATTGTCAGAAAACTTACAACATTTTCAGACCAGTTACAGCATGAAAAATAATATCAAACGTTGTCAGATAATATACAATATTTTCAGACCAGCTGGAGCATTAAAAAACCTACCAAAACATTGTCAAGCAATTTACAACATTTTCAGACCAGTTACTACATTAACAAACATCTAAAACAATCTAGAGGATGGTCAGACAATTTACAACATTTTTAAACCAATTACAGCATTAATAAACAATCTAAAACATTGTCAGACAACTAACATTATTTTCAGACCAGTTACAACATTAACAAACTATGTAAAGCATTGCCAGACAATTTACAACATTTTTAAACCTGTTACAGCATTAAAAAACAATCTGAAACAATTTCAGACAACTTAGAACATTTTCAGACCAATTACAACATTAATAAATAATCTAAAACATTGTCAGATTATTTACAACCTTTTTAAACCAGTTACAACATTAACAAACAATCTAAAACATTGTCAGACAACTAACATTATTTTCAGACCAGTTGCAATATTAACAAACCATCTAAAGCATTGTCAGACAATTTACAACATTTTTAAACCAGTTACTGCATTTAAAAACAATCTGAAACATGGTGAACAACTTACAACATTTTCAGACCAGTTTAAACATTGACAGACAACTTACAACATTTTCATACCAGTTACAACGTTAACAAACAATCTAAAACATTGTCAGACAATTTACAATATATTTAGACCAGTTACAACATTAACAAACAATCTAAAACATTGTCAGACAACTAACAACATTTTTAAACCAGTTACAACATTAACAAACAATCTAAACCATTGTCAGACAATTTACATTTTCAGACCAGTTACAGCATTAAAAAACAATCTAAAACATTGTCAGACAAGTTTTAACACTTTTAAACCAGTTACATCATTAACAAACAATCTAATGTATAGTCAGACAATTTACAACATTTTTAGACCAGTTACAACTTTAACAAACAAAATGAAACATTGTCAGACAATCTACAACATTTTTAAACCAGTTACAACATTAACAAACAATTTAAAACATTGACAGACAACGTACATTTTCAGACCATTTACAACATTAACAAACAATCTGAAGCATAGTCAGATAACTTACAACATTTTCAGACCAGTTACAGCATTAACAAACAATATAAAAAATGGTCAGACAATTCATAAGATATTAGGACTAGTTATACAGCCTGCAAAAACAATCAGACAACATTTTCAGACCAGTTACAACGTTAATAAACAGTCTAAAAGATGGTCAGACAATTTACAACATATTTAGACCAGTTGCAGCCTTAAAAAACAATCTAAATTATTGTCAGACAATTTATAACACTTTTAAACCAGTGACTACATTATAAAACAATCTGAAACATTTTCAGACAACTTACAACACTTTCAAACGAGTTACAACATTAACAAACAATCTAAAGCATTGTCAGGCAACATACAACATTTTCAGACAAGTTAACGAACCATCTAAAGCATTGTCAGATAATTCACAATATTTTTAAACCAGTTCCAGCATTAAAAAACAATCTAAAACATTGTCAAGCAACTTACAACATTTTCAGACCAGTTACAACATTAACAAACAATCTAAACCATTGTCAGGCAATTTACAACATTTTCAGAGCAGTTACAGCATTAGAAAACAATCTGAAACATAGTCAAATACTTTACAACATTTTTAGAGCAGTTATAACATTAACAGACAATCTAAAACATTGTCAGATAATTTACAACATTTTTAAACCAGTTCAGAAAATCTACGCAACGTTTTCAAACAATTTATAACATTTACAAATAGACAGTCTGCAACATTTTTAGAAAATCTGCAACATTTAGACAATTTACAGCATTTCAAGACATTCTACGAAATTTTTAGATGATTCACCAAATTATCTGACAATGTATAACATTTTCACATAATTTACAACATTTTTAGAGAATTTATAATAATTCTCAGACAATCTACACCCAGTAAACCACAGAAGTTACCACCACGTAACACATTTTGTAACTTTCGTTTCGAAACTGATGTTAAGTAAACGAACCGATGCTGTTACGTATAGTTGTGAGCTTTAACCACCGTCGACGCGTTTAAACGTTTATAAAGGTGCGTCCACACCTAACGAACGAACACGAACGAACATAAAAGAACGTACCAGAACGAACGGCAACAGCATAGTTGTGGGACGGCGCACGACGATCACGAACGAACATACAAACATGGCGGAGCAATGTTTCCCGCAACTTGTCGGTACATCAAAGGAAATTGTTCGTTCATGTTTGAACTCGTATGTGCAGTGTGGACGTCTCAACAACGCAACGAACATTTTTGTTTTAATAATTTTTAATAATTTAATATATTTTTTTTATAATTTAATAATGTTAATAATTTAATATTTTACTTTTAATTACTACGTGTACAGTTTGAAAATTTTAATAATATTTACTTTTAATTATTGTGTACAGTTTGAAAAATTTTGAATGAATTATGGAATGGTCAAATGACGTAATTTTTATCATTCATAAATGAAATAAAAAAGTTTCCTATAATATGGGAGACTAAAGACCCATTTTATAAAATTATTAGAAAAAAACGATGCTTGGGAAAGTGTAGGCAAAAACGTTTTGTCAGAACTGCAGTAAAGAAGAAATTGCAGTCTTTACAAGTAAATATTAAACTTGTTATCATACATAGACATTCAACATATATTTTGAGGATGAGAGTATGAAAATTGAGTATAGTTCGCTCAAACCTGGAATGTTCAGCTTGCTCCGAATATGAATGCTGAGGAAAGAAAACGACTCAAATATAAGATTAAATACAAAAACTGAGTGAAATTAATTGAATAATTTATTTACAAGTATTTTACAAAATATACACGAACAAAAATCACACAAAAACCAGTGAAAATGCCGTATGATTAAAGCTTACATCCATATCAATAATAAAACTGACGTTTCACGGAACATCTACGAACAACGAAAATTTCAAGCGCTCACTGCTTAAGCGCTTGTTCCAGTTCGTTTGGAATTTTTCGCGTTCGTTCGT